CCTAACATTCCTAAAATTATCAGAACAATCTGGTGGTAGGGGACCTGGTGTTGTAAAGTAACAAGGTTTTCCAGAGTTGTCTAGTTTCTGTAATTTTAGTACTACATGGTTTAGCCCATGGGGAACACTGTCCAGTTTTAGTTAATTAACATGATACCTATCTGGCAGAGAATAGATGGAAAGGTTCTTGTTAACGAGAACAAGAAACCTACTAATCTGTTCCTTATCATCCAGTTTGGCAGCAGCAAGCCCTTAGTCTGCAGTGAATCACTGGCAGAAGGAATGGAGAAGAATTAAGTATGAGAGGATATGAAGACAATGGAAGTGTGACAGGAACGATATCTAAATTAGATATAAAAGTTGGTGCTCAGAGTGGTAAAGAATCAAGTGACCTTTATATAAACAACCAACTGCAGATTTCCCTGTTAGAAGTACAGTAAGGAGAGCCTCTTCCTGTCTGATGCACCATAAGGGTGTTAGGAAAAAGACTCAGAAAATCTTTGCTTAATGTACATTGAATTATATTGGGTCTAAACTGAAGAACAGCTCACTTGCTGGATGTTTTGTACTACTAGTCCTTCACCTTCATAAATTTGGCTAAAGAGAATTCTGTAAAATTCAGGCATGGGGAAAAAAACCTTTCAATTTAGGCAGTTGTCAAAGATCTGACATTAAGCCACTTCCCATTTACTCTTCTAAGCATGCTACTTGACCTAACCCACCAAAGACCAAGTGGCAAGTCCTGCCCAGAAAATACTGGCAACTGGTTCTCAAGAACCAACTAAACCAACAAGAAAAGCCCTGGTGTGTGAGAAAAAACATGGGTGAATATGCACATGTATATTACTGAATGTATTAATATGCATATGACTATGACCCTGACTAGTGCGGTCCTTGCCATCCTAAAAGTTTTTAACCCATGTGCTATAAAGAAATCATTCCTAATTTATCAGTGGCTGAAACAGTATAATGGACCAGAGCAGAAGCTAACAAGCTTCATGCCCTCTCATTCACAATAATCCAGAATTTTCTGGAATCCTGCATGAAAATGGCTATTTGTGAGCAAACAGTAGTACACCTATAAAATAAGTTAGCATTATAAGTGTGCTTTCAGTTTGTGTCTAGTTTGGGGTAAAAGCATAAAATGGATTAATAAAGCTAAAATAGCCTATTTTTAAAAGAAAGATGAGTATGAAAAAGGAAAGGATGAAGGAACTGAACAACTAATGTGGAACCTCGGCAAATACATCATAAAATGCAAAATTTGAAGGTGAAAATTCAAGTCAGCGGAATGGACTTCAAGAACAATTGAGTTGTTCAATTGAACTAAAAAGTAAAAAAAAAAAAGAAATCTGAAATGCTCAGAGATGACTCTCTGACCTTTCCTGTATTATTCCTGTACTTGTCTGATTCTCAGGATCCCCATCCATTATATGCTTGAATGAGCTTCATACTTATTGTTCTTTCATATCATTAAAAGAACTAAAAGGTTGGAAAAATGCATAATGTAAAGAAAGGTCAAGTGGTAATCATGGTGTGAAATGCTGAAATATGCGTAAGTATAATAATTCTTTAGATTTTATGTTCCCTGGAGAGGTAGGTGTTCAAAATTGTTCACCTACAAAGGTTTATTCTGTGCTAAATATAGCTCAACATGACTAAATTGTGGAATTATACTGACCTTTTGCTCCTCTGCATCAGCAATGGCCTTTTCTTTGCTTACTTTCTCAGTCTGAAGCCCTATCTTAGTAATCAAAGCTTCTGCATCTTGATTTCTCAGTTGCAGTTCTGCTTCTTGAGAAGCAAGTTTGCATTTTAAGTCTTCTACCTAAGGCAGAATAGCAAAGGCATTTGTTTGAAGAAAACATTCAGCATGGACAGCTTTCTAAAATGTGGGTACCAAACACTAGGCTTCAGATATACACACAAACATTAGACTATTCAAATGGGAGCTTCAGGAAGCAATCCAAGCATGCCTCTGAATTCACTATTCAAGGCTCAGACAGTGTGGGGAAGCCCTTGAAATGATCATTCTTGAAGCAGCAGGTTAAGTAGGACTATTGATTGCTTTCTGAAGGGTTGCACTCAGATCAAGAATCAAATCTGAACTCTCTTCCTTAGTTGGTTAAAAAGTGACTATTATAGGACACATGTCCTTTTTCCATTCACATTACCTATGAATCTATCTAAGCAGCAAAGATATGTATAACTACTATTTTAGAAAATGAAGCACACCTTTCTTTTTTATATTTTTGTTATATTTCATTGATTTATGTTTGCACAATTACTAGGCTGAAATGATGAATTCAGTGAAGAACCAACCACAGATCTCCTGTGGATATAGGCTTCCTCAAATCCTTCTGTCTCTTCATGTAATCCCAGACAG